AGCCGTGTATGCTAAAAATGTACGTTTCCCATCGGAAATCAATAATTTGGCCCTCCTGATGGCCTCGTCGGACGCCTCTTGGGGGCCTCTTGGGGCTTCTTTGGGGGCTGTGGGGGCCTCCCGGGAGCGTCTTGGGGCGATAGGCTAGACTTTTCGGTTCGTGGTCCCCCTCTTGGGGCCGTCTTGGGCCGTTTTGGGCGCCTCTTGGGCCGTCTGGGGGCCCTCTTGGGCCGTTTTGGGGGCCTCTTGGGAGCCTCTTGGGCCGTTTTGGGGCGGTCTTGGGGGCCTCTTGGGCCGTCGTCAACGCCGTGAAAAGCGAAAAGCCGTAGATGCTAAACATATACGTTTTCCTTTCTGGAAAATCAATGATTTGGGCCTCTTGGGGCCCTCTTGGGACGCCCCTTGGAAGCCTCTTGGGGGCCTCTTGGGACGTCTTGGGCCTCTGGGACGTCTTGGGCCTCTCGGGAAAATCGATGATGTTGGCCTCTTGGGCCTTCTCCTCCTCCTCCTCCTCCTCCTCCTCCTCCTCCTCCTCCTCCTCCTCCCCCTCCCCCTCCTCCCTCCATCCTCCTCCTTCCTTTTCCTCCTCCTCCTCCTCCTCCTCCTCCTTCCCCCTCCTCCTCCTCCTCCTCCTCGTCCTCCTTCCTCCTCCTTCCCTCCTCCTCCTCCTCCTCCTCCTCCTCCTCCTCCTCCTCCTCCCCCTCCTCCTTCTACCTCCCCCCTCCTCCCTTGGCCTCGTCCTATCTTGTCCTCGTTCCTACCTCCGACGACATCCTCCAGGCCCTGAATAAGGCCAAGGCAGCAGCTGTTGGTCAACCTCTCGAGCCCATCACAGCCGAGCAAGTACACCGCATACACGGCCGCATGCCACCAAGTAAAGCACATGGAGTTGATGCCCTCGGACCTCGCGACCTTCATCGATTGCCAGAACCTGCCGTCGAAGCCTATGCAGATGTTCTCAACTCAGTGGAGCAAGCTGGCATCTGGCCTTTACAAATTTCAGGCACCATTGCAGCTCTCGCCGCCAAGAAAGCGGGAGGCGACAGAGTCCTTGGCATGCTTCCACACATGGCCCGACTCTGGTCTCGTATTAGATCTACTGCTTCGGAAGTTTGGTCGCAAGGACTTGACGACTTTTGGACTACAGCCATCAAAGGCTCTTCAGCTCTCCAAGCCGCCCTACATAGGGCCTTGTTAGATGAGACAGCCTCAGCACTCGGCATTCAGTCCGCGACCTTGCTGTTAGACATCCAGAATTTCTACGACCATATCAAGCTCGCCAACCTGATCATGGTGGGCCTCAACTGCGGCTTCCCTGCCATCATTCTATTATTGGAAGTACAGCTCTACCTGGCGCCCAGGTTCTTGCGCAGTCGTCAATGGGTGAGCATGCCTATCTTCGCCTTCAAGGGCATCATTGCAGGCTCCCCTCACGGCACCACCCTGGCACGACTTATTTTGTTACCTATTCTTCGACATGCTCAAGCACAGGCAGAGCTAGCCCAGATGTGGACCTTCGTGGACGACACGGTACTACGAGCTGAAGGTGTCCTACGAGCGTTGCAGAAGCACCTCCCCCTTGCTGCCAAGATGCTCTGCGACGGCTTGAAGGAGTTCGAGTTGCCTATCTCAGACAAGACCGTCCTCATCGGCTCTACACCCAAGGTCCGCCACTTGCTCGCCAAGCTGATGCGACAGTACGACATTCCAGTAACTGCGACGTCCACGGCCGTTGACCTAGGCGTGGACGCCGCTGCTGCTACCCGACGAGTACAAGCCAAAGCCAGGAAGCGGCAGAAGTCGGCCACCGCCAGGTTTCGCAAAATACATCGACTACGGAGCACTGCTCAGCAGACCCGTATTTCCGCTGGCCTGTGGCGCACGGGCGCTCTTCCCGAAGGAGTCTTCGGACATCAGGTTCATGGCCTCGCTCGGCACGCTCTCCTCCGCTGGCGTCGACAGGCCGCCATCGCCGCGACGGGCTCTGCCGCGGGACGCTGCCTCACGTCCCTCCTCGGCGCCGCATTCGACGGCACGGACCCTGGCGTCTCCCTGAGGATGGAGTTCCTCGAGGCGTGGCTTCAGCATTGGATGCGCCACCCGAACACGCACGCCGGGATCATCAGAGCCTGGCCAAGGATCAAGACCACCCTGCTCGCCGCTGGCCCCAAGATGTGGTGCAAGGTGAAGGGCCCCACAGGCGCGGCCATCGCGACCCTGTTAGAGGCCAGCTGGGAGCCGACCTCCGCTACGACGTGGAGGCGCACGAAGGGCGGCTACATCGAGGAGTGGAACCTTCCTCTCGCCGACGACCCAGACCTCCTCGACGCCGACATCCACACAGTATTGCAAGACCTCAGCGAAGATCTACACCGACTTCTCTGGAGGCAGGCCGCTACACACATCCATGGAGACACGCTTGCAGGAGGCGCAGACATGGTCACTATCCGCATCGAGCAAAAGAGGTTCCTCGCGAAAGGCGACTTCAGCGATTGGGCCCTCAACAATACCATCATCAGCGGAGGACAGTGGACCAGAGACCGCCTCCACAACGCAGGCTACCAGATCGACAGAAACTGCGATCGCTGCAGCGCTCGCGTCCCTGAAACCCTGTTTCATCGCATGTGGCAGTGCGATGCGAATGTTGGGCCCGAGTTCGAGGCCAGCGACAAGCTACTGCCGCGAGCTCTAGCGGGGGCTGATGCCGACCCCGCGCTGTGGCTCCGTGGCCTTCCCTCTTCTGCTCTCACTACGCCCTCTTACGAGCCAGTGACTGGGAGGGACGGGTGGGAGTTTTCGGGTGAGGTTCGGGAGGGTTTGCCAGCGTGGGAAGGAGCTCGCAATGGCGAAGGTGAGTTGTATCTCTTTGGGGACGGGTCTGGCGGAGCCTATTCCGACGACGTTAGGAGACGTCGCGTCGGTTCAGGCCTTGCTGCTCTTCGTTGGGATCCTCCCTCGGCCTCCTGGACCCTCCACTCGGGCCTCCATGCTCCCCTCTCAGGCTCCCGCCAGACCGTCCCAAGAGGAGAATTGTATGCGTTCTGCCTGGCACTAGAGACGCGCCCCCAGGATTTCACCTATGTCACCGACCACCTAGCATTGCAGCAGGCCAGGTAGCCTCAAAGGTAAGAATAAGAATGGTGACCTCTGGCTGAGAATTCGGCATCTCGTGCAGGATCGACCGCGTGGAGCTGACTCGGTCACGGTGCTCTGGACCCCGTCCCACGCCGATCCTCAGACCCTGCACGGCTTTCAGAAATTCCTAGCTCTCGGTGACCAGCAAGCCGACGAGCTTGCGGGAGATGCGGCCCACAAGGCGGCCACCCAAGCCCTCCCGCCCGTGCCCAGGACTGACGAATATGATGCTATCGCTGCGGTCGTCCGCCAGCGTGCACGCCTAATTCTTCGCTCTTTTGAAAAGAATGCAGAGCCACGAGGACAGTGGCCAGAGAAGCAACCCACACAAGAGGCTGCTCCCCGTTCCCAGTTGCAGACCGCTCTCGCGGATTTTCAGCACAAATTCGTTCGGCGTGTAGATAAATGGCGATGCTCTTCCTGCCACAGTATCGTCGACGCTTGCCAGATATTTCCAGCTGCCGCATCGGAGTGTGCACCGCCTAGCCCCCTTCCTGAGTTTGCTGCGTGTGGTGAGGTCCTCTTGACGAGGGGCCCCCGTGTGATCAGCGGCAAGGCGATACACCCCTCCCACTTGTTGGCCGCCATCCCCAAATGGCAAATGTTCTTCTGTGTCAAGTGCGGCCATACGGCCACGCACCAGGTCAAAAACCTACAGTACCCCTGCCCGCTCAGCCACCAAGTTGGCGAGCGCAGGGCCCTGGGACCCACTGGTAAAGGCCTCGAGAACCTCAGCAGGATCCGACGTGGCCTCCACCCGTCCAGATCGGGTCCCAGCAAGTCTGTTTTAGCCGCAATGCATGAATCAGCAGCCGAAGCTGCGATAGCGTCTGTGGCGGCTCCCAGCGGTGCTCCCGTCCCCCGCGAGAGCCCCAGGGAGCGAAGCTCCAAGCCGTTCTCAGGACCGACCTCGGCTGAGCTCGATTGTGCCCCAGACGCGTCCTTGCCGTCAGCGACGGCAGCTCCCAGCAGTAATTCAGCCCGTGGAATTTCATCCGAGGCCAGCGTCCGTCGAGAGGTCGCCTCGAGCCTCAGGCAAGAGCCTAATCTTCCTGGAGCCTCGGAGAGGGGCTCCAGCTCTGAGTAAATTGTGAGGCCAGGGGAGGGCCTGTCGCGAGGTGCCGTGGGATGTCGCCACCCACGCCACCCCGAGAAAATCTGGATGGCCCTCCCTGGCGTTTTGATCCCCCGAACGGACTACGTCCGATTGCTCCACTCCACTCCTCCTCCTCCTCCTCCTCCTCCTCCTCCTCCTCCTCCTCCTCCTCCTCTTCCTCCCCCTCCTCCTTCTACCTCCCTCCTCCTCCCTTCGCCTCGTCCTCGTTCTTCCTCCTCCTCCTCCTCCTCCCCCCCCTCCTCCTCCGCCGCCTCCTCCTCCTCCTCGCTCCTCCTACCCCCTCCTCTCCTCCTATCTCCTTCCTCCTCCTACCTCCTCTTCCTTCTCTTCTTCCTCTGCCTCCTCTCCTCCTCCTCCCCTTCGCCTCCTCCTCCCCTCCTATTCTCCTCCTCCTCCTCCTCCTCCTCCCCTCCTCCTCCTCCTCCGACTCCTCCTCCTCCTCCTCTCCTTCTCCTCCTCCTCCCTCCTCCTCTCCTCCTCCTCCTCCTCCTCCTCCTCCTCCTCCCCCTCCTCCTTCTACCTCCCTCCTGCCTTCCTTGCCTCCTCCCGCCCCCTTCCCCCTCCTCCTCCTCCTCCTCCTCCTCTTCTTTCTCCTCCTCCTCCTCCTCCTCCTCCTCCTCCCTCCCCTCCTCCGCCCTCCTTCTCCTCCTCCTCCTCCTCCTCCTCTTCCTCCTCCTCGTTCCTCCTCCTCCTCTTCCTCCTCTTCCTCCTCCTCCTCCTCCTCCTCCTCTTCCTCCTCCTCCTCTTCCTCCTCCTCCTCCCCCTCCTCCTCTTCGGGCCGCAGTTGCCGAAGCCGTGCGTGCTGCCCGTGACCTCGAGGAGGCGTGTGGCCCCGAGGCAGGGCACGTCGAGGGGGAGCGGGTTGATGTCGTCGCCGTCGGGGGGGTCGACGGGGAGGTGGATTTGTGCAAGGAATTGGGCCACGTTGCCGAGAGGTTCGGCTCGGTGGTCGTCTGTCTTGCGTGTGGTGCCTATTCCGTTGCCGGCGGCCGCAACAAGAAGTTGCAGCAAGCCAGATGCAAAGGGCATTCGGACGTGGCGTCCACTCGCGCCAACGAGGAGATGCATATCTCTCGTGCGATGCGCGGTCTTCATCCTCGCACTGGTGCCTCTTGCACCTAATGCCACCTTCGACGCCTAGTCTCCTCTGTTGGCTTGGCCGATGAGGTGGGGACGCAGCTGTTGAGGAAGAACTGTGCGTTGCAGCGAGCTTCATGCCCTGCAGTGCAGCTTCTGTGTTTCACGCCGCTGGGGCGGGTCCGTTAGCTCGGACTCGCGCTTCCATCGCTCGGTACCTCCTCTTCGGGCGCGCTGGGGAGCCTATTGGGGCCCTCTGGGGCTCTCTTAGGGCCCTCGGGGCCCTCTTGGCCGTATTGGGGCCGTCTGGGGGCCACCTTGGACCGTTTGGGGCCCCTTTGGGGCTCCTCTGGGGCCGTCTTGGGATGATCTTTGGGGCCTCTTAGGCCGTCTTGGGCCCGTGTGGGGGCCCTCTTGGACCGTTTTGGGGCCGTTTGGGGCGCCTCCGGGGCCGTCTTGGGACGACCTTTGGGGCCTCTGGGCCGTCTTGGGCCCGTCTGGGGAAAAAATACAAAAAAAGGCCATGGGAGCCGCCCGGGAGCCGCTTCACTCGGAAAAATACGAGGGAAGCGGGCCATTAGACCATTCCGTCTGCATCCGTCTGCGCCTCGCACCCCCCCTGGACCCCCCCTAAGAAGGGCTTCGCCCCCTACTCAACGTCACTCGCTCGTACCTCGCTGTTTCCGTCACCTGGGCTGGCACGGAAACGGAAAGAGCGCTGCAGGAACTTGACCGAAATTACTCAAACCACCGTTCGTATTGGGAGCCTTGGCGTTGAGAGCCTGTTACGTCACCCCGCGCTCCGCCTCCTCCTCCTCCTCCTCCTCCTCCTCCTCCTCCTCCTCCGCCTCCGCCTCCGCCTCCTCCGCCTTCTCCTCCTCCTCCGCCTCCTCCTCCGCCTCCTCCTCCTCCTCCTCCGCCTCCTCCGCCTCCTCCGCCTCCTCCGCCTCCTCCGCCTCCTCCGCCTCCTCCGCCTCCTCCGCCTCCTCCGCCTCCTCCTTCGCCTCCCCGCCTCCGCCTCCGCCTCCGCCTCCTCCCGCCCCTCCTCCTCCGCCTCCTCCTCCTACTCCTCCTCATCCTCCTCCCCTCCTCCTCCGCCTCCTCCTCCTTCTCCGCTCCTCCGCACTCCTCCGCCTCCTCCGCCTCATCGGCCTCCTCCTCCTCCTCCTCTTCCTCCTCCTCCTCCTCCTCTTCCTCCTCCTCCTCTTCCTCCTCCTTTTCCTCCTCCTCCTCTTTCTCATCCTCCTCTTTCTGCTCCTCCTCCTCCTTGTCCTCCTCCTCCTCTTCCTTCTCCTCCTCTTTTCCTGCTCCTCTTCCTCCTCCTCTCCGCTGGCGGAACCGCTGGCGTCGCCGCCGGTGCCGCGGCTGGCCTGGGTCGCGCGGCGGTAGCGCCGCGCGGCCAGCGGCCAGTGCCGAGTGCGGGCAAAGACCCGCGAGGCGCACGGCTCGCCGTGGAGAAGGGAGGTCTTCAAGGGCAGCGACTGGGGGCGGAGTGCTAAACAAAATCGTACTCCAGACCTATAGACCTATCTGGACTGCCTCAAACCTCGACAGGAGTCAGGGCGTCGACGCCCTGGTGCTATTCTTTGGCCCTCCTGGAAGGTCAGGGGAAGTGCTGGCCCGAGGGGGGGAACGCATCGATCCCAAGTCGCCGATTCATCGCCCATCGGGCTTTGGGTGCCCCTCGACCTGCCCGGGAGGTTGCGGCTGCGCTATCGGGGGCCCATCGCCGACCTGTCGGCGATGTACCGCCGGTTCCGAGTCCATGCCCCCCCCTGAGCCAGTCCCCCCCGCTGGTCCTTGCTCAGACCTCCACCGGGCGGATCGTTTCGATCGCGGCGGTGTCCGTTTCGGCCTCCTGTGGCCGCTGCTTGCCTCCAGATTTTACAAGTTTGAGCCGGGGCGGCGCAGCGTCCCCGGGGAATCGTCGGAGAGGGTCGAGATCTCTGGCGCCCGCCGATTGAGCATACCACACCGTCGAGTGCTTTTCTTGAGATGGAGAGACTGGAGAGATGTCCAGAGTTTTTCGCCATCTCGGCCTCCCTGGGCCCTTCCTGGCCGCCGAACCTGCAACAAGAACGGCTCGAGGTGGCAAAGCTGGCCACAGGCTTCGCGCTGGGGTCCAGGCTCCCCGTCTCCATCCAGACCCCTTTTCTCCACGCGCAGAGATGCACGCCCCCTCCCCCCCTGACATCGGGGCAGCTCCAGTCGTTTCTTGCCACTCTACGCTGTGGCTCCTTCAAGGCGTCGGGTGTCGTGTGGTGCCCCGATCCTCATTTTGCCGCCTCCCCTCTGTGGGATCGCCGCCGCGCTTGGACGCGCCGGCGAGTGGCCAGCAGCGGCGCGCCGTGTGCATGCCGAGAGCCCGCGAGATGCACGAGGCCACAAGGGCCGAGACGCCGCGGTGCTCCTCCGAGCGGAGCAGAAGCCGTCCGTGCTCGTCTGGAGAAAGGCTTTCCTATCCCTCGTCTTCCCCCGCGCTGCCTCGTCTGCAAGGTCTGCGGTAATTCGGTTCCTGCGGCGATGGCGCGCCGGCGACGCCGGCGACGGCGTTCAAGGTTGAACACTGCGACGCGGAGGCACCGAGTGACGCGGTACAGTGGGGGCGTGCATCAAGAAACCATCTGCTTTTCGTCAGGGTATTCTGGATTTCTTCGCTCCCCGCGCTGCCGGGTGACTTCCCGCAGCCGTTGAAGAACTTGCTCAACGGCTTCTTAGAACGCAGCAGCTTCTTAGAAGCTGCTGCGTTCAGGGTGATCTGGTATTCCCCTCAGGTACACCTTGCGCGCGGGTTTTTAGGTTTGGGTTTAGCACAGCACTGCACATCACAGCACAGCACAGCACCTCTGGACACCATAAAGGGGTGCGCGGATGTCTCGAAGCGGCGTTGGGCAGCTCTCCAGACTTCTCTGCAGCATGACTGTCACCCACCCACAAAAACATATGCTCAAACACAGTTGCTGCGTGCCCTTCCTGTCGCAGTGTCTGCAGCCTCAACTTCGGCGAAGCCTCTTGCCCAGAGGGGGGCATGCCGACCCTTCGGCCACAGAGTATGGTCATGCAGTTTTGTGACGCCAGCACGGGGTGCACTCGATGAGTACAACGAGAGAGCGGCCGAGGAGGAGGAATATTCGTTTGAGGAGGAGGAGGATATGGCAGAGAAACGCGAAAGTAATGAGGGTGAGTGGATGGACGAGGTTTCAGACGCTCTGGCCCCTGCCCTGAAGAACTGGGTGAGCGAAAGCTCGCAGCACCAGTACGATCGCATCATCTTCAACCAGAGGAAGAGCGACCGCGCCAAAGGCGCGTGGCAGATCGCCGGCCACGGTTGGAATCGCGCATTGAAGCCGCAGCGTCCGATCCGCCGTGGAAGGCAGCAGGTAAACGAACAGACCTTTGAGTGACAGAAGGGGCTTTCTAATCTTGGCCGTGGAGCGTTGCGTTCGCAGAGCTGTCAGGCGCCCGGCTCCGCCCAACTTCCGTGCCGAGGCTGCCTGGAATGTCAGGTGCCGGGCCTTTAGGGCAGGGCACCACGCAGCTGGTTCGAGGGCTTCGGATCGGACCGGGCTAGGACAAGGATAGATCGTTCCAGAGCGTTCTGGAGCGTTCTCAGAGCGTTCCAGGACGCTCCGAGAAGGCGGCGGCGCCCGAGACATCCTGCAGAACCGCCGGATCTCCGGGATTCTCGATGTGTCCCCACCCGATTTGATTATCGTCCTGGCGGCGTTTTGCAGGGGCAGCTCTGGCTCTGGAGGGGGACCCCCCCCTTGCTCTGGTCCTCGTCCTGGCTGCTAGGCAGGTAAGGCTAGCGCCGTCCGCCCTGGAACTCTGCCAGGACTGTGGGCTACGGCTATGCTACGCATACCCATCTAGCCTGCCGTCCGTTGTTTCGGCTGGCCCGACTCAACAAATCAGGCTGGACTTCGGGTGGCCAGCAGTACTAGGTAGGCAAGACGAGTGCCGTCCGCACTGGAACTCTGCTAGGACTGTGGGCTACGGCTATGCTGCGCATACCCATCTAGCCTGCGGTCCGTTGTTTCGGCTTGCCCGACTCAACACATAAGCCTTGAGTTCTGGTAGCACGCCGCACTAGGTAGGCAAGATATTGCCAACACTAAGGGGATCCATCTAGGCTGGGTCCAGATTGCTAAGGCGTAGCCACCAACGAAGCGCTCCCGTCCCCACATCCCTTTTCTAACCCAAGCCAGTCCCAACCCTACCGCCCAGCTCTCCAGAGGCCGGACGCCATCCTGCCTCCTCGCTCTCCCCCGCCTCGTTTGCCCCCCCTTCCCCCTTCCGTTCCCGCCGGCTCCCACTGCCCCCCCCCCCTTGCGCTCTCCTCTCTACCTCCTCCTCCCCCGTCCCAGGGCTGGTAACCCAAGCTTGCTTTCGATGTGGGGCTGCTAGCCAGGGCGGGACCTCGCTAGCATCACCCATAACCAGGCTGCGAGTTGGGGTCTCCCCAAGCAATGGGTGTCCCCCGTTGGCAGTCCCAAGTGCGGCCAACGGCCCCGAGGGACTGCTCAATGGCGGCCCGCTCGCAGACCTGGCAGTTTGGTCAGTGATCCTCCTCCTCCTCCTCCTCCTCCTCCTCCTCGTTCTCCTCCTCCTTCTCCTCCTCCTCCTCCTCCTCCTCCTCCTCCTCCTCCTCCTCCTCCTCCTTCCCCTCCTCCTCTTCGGGCGCGCCGGGGAGCCTACTGGGGCCCTCTTGGGCTCTCAGAGCCCTCGGGGCCCTCTTGGCCGTATTGGGGCCGACTGGGGGCCATTTGGGGCAGTTTGGGGCTCCTTTGGGGCGCCTCTGGGGCCGTCTTGGGATGATCTTTGGAGCCTCTTAGGCCGTCTTGGGCCCGTCTGGGGGCCCTCTGGGACCGTTTTGGGCCCGTTTGGGGCGCCTGCGGCACCGTCTTGGGGCGATATTTGGGGCCTATGGGCCGTTTTGGGCCCCTCTGGGGGCTCTCTTGGACCGTTTTGGGCCAATTTGGGGCGCCTCTGGGGCTGTCTTGGGACGAGTTTTGGGGCCTCTTGGGCCGTCTGGGTCCCTTCTGGGACGGAAAAGCGCCTCAAACACACGAGCCGAAGTTACTCACACCACCGTTCGTACTGGGAGCCTTGGCGTTGAGAGCCTGTTACGTCACCCCTCCCTCCTCCTCCTCCTCCTCCTCCTCCTCCTCCTCCTCCTCCTCTTTCTCCTCCCCCTCCTCCTCCTCCTCCTCCTCCTCCTCCTCTTTCTCCTCCCCCTCCTCCTCCTCCTCCACCTCCTCCTCCTCCTCCTCCGCCTCCTCTTCTTTCCTCCTCCTCCTCCTCGTCCTCTTCCTCCTCCTCGCCCTCCGCCTCCGCATCCGCTTCCGCCTCCGCCTCCTCCTCTTCTCCTCCTCCTATCCGCCTCCTCCGTCTCCTCCTCCTCCTCCTCTTCCTCCTCCCCTTTCCTCCTCCTCCTCTTCCTCTCCTCCTCTAACCTCCCTCCTCCTCCCGTTGGCCTCTTCCTCTTTTCTCCTCCTCCTCCTCCTCCTCCTCACTCTTCCTCCTCCTCTTTCGTTCAGCGCTCGCCTCCTCCGTCTACCCTCCCTCTCCTCCCTTGGCCTCGTTCTCGTTCCTCCTCTCCTCCTCCGCCTCCTCGATCCCTCCTCCTCATCCCCCTCCTCCTCCCCCTCCTCCTCCTCCTCCTCTCTCCTCCCTCCTCCTCCTCCTCGTCCTCCTGGTTCCTCCTCCTCCTCCTCCTCCTCCTCCTCCTCTTCCTCCTCCTCCTCCTCCTCCTCCTCCTCCTCCTCCTCCTCCCCCTCCTCCTCTTCGGGCGCGCTGGGGGGCCGATTGGGGCCCTCTTTTTCCGTAGCCATGTTGGCTCAAGGGGCCTTTCTCCTGAACTTCCAACCCCGCTCGAGAGATTGAGGCGGGTGTTTTTCCGATCCCCTTAGAGTCTTACTGGCCAGGAGTTCGCGACTCCGCCCAGCTTTCATTCACAATTACAGCTTCCCCGCAGGAGCCGCCATGTTTGCGGCGCAACAGCAAGGAGGGGGATCGGGACCTGGTCTTAGAGGTGCAGGACCATTCGCCCAACTCCCCATCGTCACGAACAATCCTTTCTTCCAACTTGGCCCGAGGGTTCCAGGTGCGCAGAGAGCGGTTGATACCCGTCAGAAGAAGCAGCCGAAGGCCCCTCCTCCCCCAGGCTCGTGGGCATGTGCGCACTGCCCCTGCAAGCGCAACGACCCGCGCTTTCACGTCTGCAAGCATTGTGGCCCAACCAGGCACGCGCCAGCTTTCGACAAGCCTCAGCCGCCCATGGGAAGCGTGGGCGGGAGGCTCGCCGCCAGGTCGATGGCAGAGTTCAGCTTCACCGCCTCCTCCTGCTGCTGCTGGCAATGGCAATCAACGTGGTGATGCGCAGCACGACAAGTCGCAGCTGGACACGGTCGAGCTCGAAGCCCTGGTCCGCACCCTGGGCAAGATCGGCGACACGGCGGGCGCCGCGCGATACCCGGCCGTCCTGGACCAGCGCCGCGCCCCAGCCAAGGACACCCCCATCCAGCAGCGCATCACGAAGGAGTTCCACAAGCTTCGAGCTGCAGAGGGACGACTGGGACGAGCTGCGGAGCTTCGACCAGATGCAGGCCCAACTCGACACGCAAAGATCGGAGCTCAAACGTCTCAGCGCTGGGCTGCAAGAAGCTGAAGAACGCCACGGAACCCTCGTTCGTCAGTTGCACTCAGCCTACGCGCCAAAGGCCGCCGCGGAGCAGGCGCCTCAGGCACTCGCGGTCCGCAGCATCCTCGACGGCTCGCTGGAGGACCTACCCATCGAGTTGGGAGACGTGCTTCAGCTCGCGGTGGAGCGCAAGATCTTGGACAGCATCGACAGTTTCGTCGATCACAAGCACTTGGTTTTTGCTGTCACCAGAGGGGGGCTGCCGCACCCAGGAGTTGATTACCCCACCCCGTGTGTGTCTGGTTCCCTGGAAGCCGATTGGTTTGTCGAACCTCCCTCGGACAGGGCCCAAATCCAGGGGCGAACCTCTGTTGATGGGTCGTGCAGCCGCCACATTGAAGAATTAAGTCGAGCTGCCTGGGCCCTCTCTGTTTTCAAAGACGGCCAGCTTCAGTGCGAGATCAGAGGCCCAGTGCGCGCGCCTCTCCCGCAGACACCACGGTGCGCTGAATTTTGCGCACTTACTGCGGCCACGATGTGCATCGTGGGTC